CCTGAAAATTTCTTGGATTGTCAGGGTCAATAATATGGAGCTGTACAGAACAATAAAACCAGAAAGAAGAATGTTAAGAACATATACAACTTAACTTAAACTAATACTTGAAGGTCGTATAGAAGAGATGTCAGGCGAAAATAACTTTAAGAAATTGAGGAATTAAGCACCTTAAATCAAATCTTCCAAATATTAGCTTATTATATTTATCTTTATTTTCAAATTATTACATTATGGTAAGGTGCCTGCATGACTCACTATATATCTCTAAAAACAATCGTAAAAACTATTATTCCGTCATGAATGCCAGCCAGAGTTACATTTATAACTACAGTCATATAATATGGTAAATAAAGGGATGCAACACACTTATATAAAATTATAGCATTAATTAATATATTGCAACTATATATTACCTACTACTATTGTGTTATATGTACTATACTATGTACATCTTATAAAAAAAACTTATAGGTTTTGCTTGGTGTTGTTGTTCACGTTCAAGTTTTATATTCATATAGATCCACGATTTCATGCATGTGTTATATATATGACTTTTTCTGATAATTTCTAGATCTTCATTTCTTTTGTTAGAATTAAACGCAATCCAAGCCATATTAATATGGGATGATTTATCTTCAGGTATATTATTTCTACATCTTTTAATCTTTTATTTTTGACGTAAAGTAGATATTTCCTTAATAAGGTTATAAATGCCATATTATTAAATTAATATCAAATTATTAAATTTTCTTATATGGTAATATTATATATTTTAATATAGCATTATAGTTACGATAAAAATCGATATCAATAAACTTATTAACGCCCGTATATATATTTTTAAAATAATTAACTACAATTTTCTAATATGCAAGGTGTTTGAGCAGTGCCATATAAATTACATATATAGCCAAACGGACAACAGCCACGTACTTCTGTTAGACCACCATTTGTACATAGTGTGTAGCTGGTACGACTCGTACAAGTGAAGTCCCTATCATTCATATTGTCACATACATCACAACGAGAACCGAGTTCACAATCTGGTCTTATTTCAGGTATTGTAATTGGAGAGCATATAAATGTATTTAGAGAAGTACATATTGTAGTATCGGGACAACTAAATGTAAGAGAAGTATCAGCAGTGCCTTAAATTAAAAAATAGTTCATTGAATAAAACATATATGTCGAAAATGTACGTTTAGAGAATCTAACCATTATAACAGACTTGATATTCCGTTTCTGTTACACAGGCAAAACCTTCGTGACTGCACTGATTACAAACTGCAGAGATATTCTCAAAACCCACTATGACGAAAATTACCAAAAACTGAAAATTGAAATAAACAAAAAATTTATTTAGTACTGTTTAAAATTTAAAATATAAATAATAATAAATAATTTCCTTCTCACAAACATTTTTAACATATTATGAATGTGTTTTGCTCACAGTTAAAACCTGCTTTCATTAAAGGTTAAGTTTAACTAATTTCAGTTCTCTTGCTGTGATGTTAGTTTGTACCAAACTTTATGATCGCGTTATTATCTTCTATAATGTGTGGGGGATTAGCACTTGATGCTGGAGTCTATTGTTCTGATAAGTAAGAATGAGATTAATAATGCAAATATGCAAGATTCTGTTGAAGAGTTATTTAACATGATTCCATAAAAAATTGTGTTTTTTTTAAGCAAATAATCTTTTTAATGTGTTTTAACTGTCAAAAAGTTTATTGTTTTTCGACATATTGTTAAGATTGCGAAAATTTATTTACAAAATCAGTACTCCATAACAAACGAACTTTATTACTTTCTTGACTACTACACATTTCTTAACGAGATGTTGACACAGTTCAACATGTCTCTAATATAGGTCCCCGGTTATTGAATAATTTTTAACAACTGCGAAGCAGACGTGCCATAGCCAGACGAGGTGCTTCAGGAAATTACTCAGTATACCTAAATAATCTAGGCATATACCTAGTTGACATTTGCTAAGTTTTTTCTGTGCTGTACTTAATAAAAGATGGAGAGACTCAGTGAAATGTAAACATTTGTATACAAGTTGATTGAGTGCAATAAAGAAGAAATCCAATACTCTAACTGAGATGCCCTGTAGAGATGTCAGTTTTGTGGTGGTTTTGTCCAAAGCATAAAAAAGATTATGAAATATTGTTAAGAGATTGAATCTTCCTTTCAAATCTTCCTGTCTCAGTTGTGAAGGGAACGATGAAAGGACGGCGCCGCTTTTCTATGTCAGTCAACTGCAAGACCTATATGATAACACAATGAGTTATTAAGCTTAACATAAGTGTATCCCCTGTGCCGCCAGTATAAACTAACTTAACCTATCAAACGATCTGACAAGACAGGTTTAATAAGAAATCCTTTGCAAAATCTATTAGATTGCAGCGACATCTATGAAAGAACGATAGTAGGTTAATGGTGTACATTTTACTCACTTCCTTCGTTACTTTAAGTAAGTTCGCCTAACGTTTATTATTTATTATTACATGTCATTTTGCAAGTCAGTCAAAACAAAGTATATTGTCAATTTTATGCTCAACATAATAGTTCAAATATTCAGCATGTTTACCCTTTCGGACGCCAAGTCACCGTCGAAAATTTGCAGATATCACACAGATGAACCTATAATCACTGTTGAAGTCATTATCAATGGTGTGCCTAATTCTTTGATTTGACATTACCTCTGCACTTTGAGACTGTGAAAAATTTTGCAACAAGATCTCGGCTTACGTTTTTACAAAGCGTATTTTATATATCTACAAAAATTGAAGACACACATTCGTTAATAGGTATTAGAGCGATTTGAAATCAATCTATTTCTTACCGCAAAATTTGATTAAACGATTAATTTTATTATCATTTCGAAAATATTCCATTGGAATTTTCTATCTTCATAAGAGTTCATTGCTTTGCGCCTGACTATATATTATATGATAATGAAGTTCATTGCACCATTATGATAAACTATATTTTATTGAATTTAAGTATTTACCACACGCTTTACCCAATTTCAGGTTCAATTTGTATGCTGAATCCTTTCGGACTATTATTTGTATTATCGTTTTCTATATATTGAAATTGTGTCCATAACATTTATTTTTACTTCTTTATAAGGTTATATTGCACTTACATATACATATTTATATAGTTTAATGTTAAAATCTATTTTAGATGGAGAGATTTTTGAGATATATTTACTGCTATCAATGTTTTGAACTTACTACATTTTGAAGATTCACTTTGAGCTCTTCTGAGTCAGCAGTGGAGTCAATAACGGCTTTTTCATCTATTAAAGAATAGGGACAACAAAAAATTAGTTTCAAAATATTTCTGGTAATGTTTCATTTTACCTGCTATCAATAATTTTTAAATGTTTTGGACCCATATACAGACGGTATTCACTATTCCAATTCTTTCTAGAACACATTTCCCTCGAAGTGTATTTGCACAATTCTATCATACTAGGAAGTTGGATAAAGAACGACTTTGTACAACAACAACAGTGATAACATTGATTGTTGTGTATTCTAAAGAATATATTATGGTTTCAGTTTTGTTCAAGAAGTATGTAACTGCCGTTTTATTACACACTGCCAGAGGCGAGGTTGTGAAAATAGGTATCATGTTTAAAAGCAATCTGATCGTTTTATAAATGATATTATTTTTGTGGGACAAGAGTAACCCTTTGTTTCCAAAATCATTCTGGAAGATGTTCGGATATGTAAAATGCAGAGCACGTTTAATAGGTCTTAAGGTTGTTAATAATTCTCTTTCTGTGTATACATATATATACACATAGCAGTATATATAATCCACCTGAAATGATGAATTGTTTCAATACAATTATTATGTTTCGGTAAATGTTTTTAATATGCTACGAAGTTAATAAAAATGTTATTTAAATATATTTCTGTGTACACTTTTTGCTCTGTTAACTATTGTTGAATGGATTTAAAGCTATATATACTTGGACTAAAAAATATCGGAAGTTAAATATTCAAGTGAAATCTTTTGACTGTGAAGTGTTATAATCTATATTTCGACTGTATTAATGTTCATATCAGGTGTTTGAGTTGAA